TAAAATCAGTAATCAAACATAGTGGCGCCGGTGGGGTATTGGTAAACACGACTGCCTCTCACTCCAAGGGGCCTGGGAACACAAGATTGACGGAAAAAAAGCTCTTCTATAAAGTGTGGTCCACTTAGAATCCGGACACTTTTTTGACGTAAGACTACGTCTATGATTTCTATATGGGGTACACTTTGTGAAATCCGAAAATGGATCATGTAACAAAATTATGAAAGATTTTGAACGTTAATAACTCAGCTGCCCCTAGACCAATTTCAATAATTTTATCACCAATCGATCAGAAATATTTCTACGCATCTTGTTAACTTAGGATTCTATAAATTTTCAAAATTTCAGTATTCAAAATTGCACGAATGTGCAACTGTTGCTATGATAATGAAAATTATCACCGAATGCCTGCGAAAAGCAATTTCCCTAACATAGATTTCAAAGTTGAATTCTATCCGGCCTCACGAAACGGTGATTATTCAATCACCACGTGGTATTTTTTAAATAAATCTCCAATAATAAGTTTCAAAAAACCATATCATTTCTTAGATATTCACTCATAATACCATGTTGACCAGTATTTTTTTTAAGATCTTCAGGTTATCAAAGATCTCCATGAAGTCCTCTGGTTGTTTGTTCAATACTTCAGATTCATCTGGTACTATTCTGAAGATCACAATCTGCCCAAAAATCCTATCTTTATATTGCTCATGTCCTCTCTTAACATCATGTTTATCGGAAATAATTTCAAAAATATTTTGGTGCTTAAAAATCTCAGTAAGCAGTTCCATGGTGTCAGCTATTTTCCCCTTGATATTAACAAGTCCAGCATCCACTTTTGATAAATACTATATTTCTCAAAATTTACAACGCTCATAACTGCACTCACCAAAAGGCATGGCAAATCATTTACATTCATTTCGTGCATTCATTTACATTAATTTACCTCTTTATTCATTAACAGAATTCCGTGAAATGATGTATTAAGCTTTTGTAGGTTTTAATATTATCTCTGGTGCATCATGCATAAGAGGTACACATTTGAGTTATTGCCAAAAGTTATAGCTACTATCAAAACCTACAAAAGGCTTCAAACCATCATTTAACGAAATTCTGTTGATGGAAAAGTAGGAGGCAAATGAATGTAAATGAATGCACGCAATGCATGTAAATGATTTCCCATGCCTGCTCACCGATACCACGTAGAATATGAAACGCCCCTCTATTGGTTGGAATACCCTCCCTCATGAAGTGGCCTGCACATTAGACTGATGCAAAATTTGAAATTTTCGCTCCACAGTGTTCAAACGGTTTCATATCGGGTCCTGATTAGCCTTCGAAAGTTTAAACTGATTTCATAAGAAACTGACTTGGCACTAACCATTTGAAGTTTGTATGGAGATTACTTTGGGAAAACAAAACTTTTTGCTCATTGTATTCTAGCCGTTTTACATATTGTACTGTTAACAAACTCTATTGCTATTCTTATGGGAATTTTTATCAGCTACAACTTTGAAAAAAATAGTTTTTTCAGCCAACCGTCAAATTAAATAGTTATCAATTGTTTAAGATATCGATAATCTAATGGCAAGATTAAGCAACTGTATTGTGGGCAACACTGTATTCTGCAGTGTGACATAGTAACCATAATTGTTGTCCTCTATTCTACGCGCCATAAACACCAATGTTGCCTGCTGGACAGTTGATTGAGCATAATCATAAGACATCAGTGACTTGAATCATTAATAATTTTTGTACCTTACATTTGATCGAAAAGTGGTCTTGAACAAAGTTGTAGCTGAGAAAATTTTCAACAAGTTCAGCTATCATTTTCTAAAGTAGAGTGAACTGGTGAATTTTGAGATAGATGTGTACCGAAATTATGGTTTCTCCATAGTAATTCCCATATAAACTTCAAATGGTTTGTGCCAAGTCAGTTTCTTATTTAAGTAGTTCAAATTTGGGAGGCTAATCAGGGCCCAATTTGGAACCGCTTGAGCACTGTGGAGTGGAAATTTAAAATTTTGCATCAGTCTACTGCACATACCTATGGAAGACACCCACAATGTTGAGTCGATCCATGAACACTCCATGCGCTCATCTGGTGCTTGGAAGTCACCCTTCATTTTGAGTGGATGCATTGTATGGTGGATCACAACCCCCTGCTAACCACTGCTCCTTAGATACGTATTGAGTTCCCCAACAACTGCAAAATTTGAACAAATTTGGAGATCTGGATTTATGGGAGAATTTAAAATTTTGTATGGGAAATTTTAAATGGCTCAAAACTATTAATTTGCTTGTCAAAAACTCAAAAATGGCTCAAATTTTACTAAACCTGTAATACTATGCAGAAAACTTTTGCAAAAGATCGCCAATAACTTTGACTTCCTACAAAAAAGTTATTATTATTTTACTTTAGGTCAAGCAGGTATGTTTTCATTGGTATTTTTGGTTTTTTGAATTTAAGTGTAATCATATCTATGGCCTTGCCTTTATTTAGTTTCGAACTTGAGGCATAAGAAGGGCGACCAATTGCCTCGGAAAACACAAGTCTGTTGCGCCATTGCTTGGGATAGCGCAGTAAGGGCTTCATACTGAGGTTTTGATTTTGTAACTTACTGATAGTTTTTGGAACTTTGTTTTGCGCACGAATGTTTAGGAAAATTTTTAGACATTTTTCAAGGTTTTCCTGAAATTTTGAGAGAATGAGGTACGGATAAATATGAAAACAAAAATTATGGTGCTTGGAAAATGTTGACGGAACTTTTGGAAAAGAATCATAATTTTAAAAAAGTGAGGATAAAGCGACTTTGTAGACATTCAAGAAACATTAGAGCGATTTTCCGCTCTTCGGGTTTTTGTGGTGTGGCACTATTTGAAACAACGCCATCAACGTCAGGGGTGAACGCATGGTTGTTATTGATCAGTACTATATTTTTGGGGCACAGGTGCGACTACTTAGCTCAAAATTTACGAACACAGCAGGTCTGGTCACATCAGGATATCTTCGTCATCTTGCTATTATATTGCACTGTGGGTATCTCCATCAATCACAATTTGGCTCAATGATTATTGCATTTACGCTATGCATCTTGCCCAGACAACCAGTAGTCGTATAACAATGTGCAGACAGTATCGTAAATTGCTACAGTTTAAGTCAAAATCGCATATAAGAATGGCATACATCGCATTATGTTTAATTTAAATCGTATAGAATGCAAATTTCCGACCTATATGCGATGATTCATTTTTCCGTCGTACTGTATCACAAATCAAATCGGGTTACATCGTAAGACTTTTCAAAGTGAATTTGTTATTACAGATTAAATCGTATATGATGTTAAATCAAATCGTTTAAAATTAAATTTAAATTTGCACGTATATGGCCTCCACTTTTGTACGTATAAGCCATTTATTTGCATTCTATACGATTTATCGGTTTGTATATATGTTTGTATATCACGAAAATAACTTTGAATATACGTGCATTCTGGTTGTCTGGGTGTTTACACTTCAAATATAAAAGCACAGAAAAAATATTTCCGGATAATCGAGCCACTTTTTTCCGGTTAATCGAGCTCGAGCTGTATTTCTAAGCAAAACACTTACTTTAAATAATTGTACAGGCTCAATCGAATAAACTTTAAAGAGCCAAGTTATAATTTGCGTTATACAATATTAATGTCTCAAATCTAAAGCTACAGGAATTGAACCCAATACTACGTTTTTGAATTGAATTTGATGAATTTCGTTGAAACCATGAGACTTGAATGGTTTAAATGAGTCTGAAGCCCATTCAACCTTTAATTTTGTTAAGATTATGTCCCAGAAGAATTACTGACCGTTCCAGCCAAAAATCTCCCGATGAAAAAAATTATTCGTTTACTAAATGAATCAACTGACTTTCAACATAACATCTCCAAAGAAAGGTAGTTTCGGAGCGTATCCGCTTCGTTACTCATCTTTGATTTCAAATTTACGTAAAATTTCGCCAAAATGACCCAATGCGAACCCCCCCCCCCCCCTGAAGGAATCGGTTTATTTTAATAATTAGCATAAATTAAGCCAAAACTGTTGCATTTTCAAAAACCTTCAAACATCGCCTCACCGATGGATGGCGATGTGCGAGATCCGTTAACTTTTCCCCTCTGGTGGGGACACTACCGGTACGAGCGAGCGGAGTCCTTTGAAACACACCACCAGCCCCAATATGATGGATGCCAATTTATGTAAATGTACATACCTGCCGATCGTATATGTTTATCGAGTGATAGCGAGGGGGTTACGAGGGAGGGTCAGGTGACACACGGGCGGAAGGTTCACGCACTTTTATCTTCACTGTGTGCAGGAAAAGAAGGAAGACGGACCATCGATCGTAGGGAATACCTACCTACCTACATCTCTTACACAATCGGATCGGTCTCGCGCTCAAGGGTACGTTTGTGGTTGGGAGGTTGGGGAGGGTGGGTTGGTGGTTGGGTGGTTGTTTCTCACTTTCTCACAGTAAAAGCCGGTCGATCTGTATCTGCTCTGCTGCTGCTCCTGCTCTGCAGGAATGTGTTAGTGTGCGAGAGTCGCCTCTGATCGTGTTTTATTTTTTAATGTGAGCAAGAGTGAGAGCGTGATTCAGCGTGCGTTCGGGATTTGGCTGAGGAGAGCCACCAGCATCTCTCGGCTGCTATGAGCTGAGCTACGGGCAGGTGCTGATGGGATTTTCAGTTGATTTTTCGGAAAAAGAAAGAAATGTTGCAGCAGCAGCAGCAGTGAGAGCGCCGAGTGAAGAAGGAGCGGGAGAGTGTGTGCTTGTGTGTATTTTCCTCTTCGGGCGGGCGCGCACGCTGGCTTGCTCTCGCGCGTCTTCGTGGTCGTCGTTTTTTCGGGCGTGTTTGTCGATATAAAAATTATTTAACATAATATCTTGGTATTACAATTTATCATCATCTCGTTGTTTAAAGAAGCAATTTTTTGTTGGTCCTATATAAGGGGTTACAATATTGAGATAGGAGTACAATTCATTAACGATCGTTGAAGTATAACGAACTCCTTCGAAGAGTGATCCGAGCAGCAAGAGTGCCTTGAGTGCCGTGTTTTGTTCTCAAAGAACTTTGAAAAAAATATATCGAAAAGTGTGTGATAGCACTGAAGTGTGTTGTGATCCTAAACAGAACAGAAGCATCCAGTAATCATGAAAGTGTTTGTCGCTGTAATTGCCGTGCTAGTGGCCAGTGCCATGGCCGCCCCAGCCCCGGCTGAGGAATCTACCAGCTCGAGTGGCCTCGGAATGGCCCTCCGGTACTTTGGAAGCTGTATGGAATCGAACGAAATGGGAACCTGCCTCGCCGTGAAAGGAATTACCGCCCTGAACCGTGCTGCCCGTGCCAACAACATCGAAATCGTGCCTGGTGTTACTTTCTCAAGGTGAATTTTGAACCCTTCTGCGAGATCAAAGATCGCAACATTGAAGAACAATTATGCCATGCAGGCAGCAAAAAAAAAAAGACTGGTGAAACGGAAAACAGTGTTATGCAATCACCCTGCGGGGAATTTCCCAGGGCTCAGTAAACACAGACAATTGCGCAAGTGATTTAAATTGCTTTCCTTGTTTAAAGCCGGGGGAAATGGCGTGAAACTCGTGAACTCGTTCGATTGTTTTGTGATAGAGAGATTAAGGGTTCGTTGCTTTTGTCTCATTAGGCATGCGGCGGCCAATCAAGCTGGCAAGTGACAACGCTCTCCTCCCCATCACCGCCGTTGTTTATCAGATGCAGACTAACTGATTGACTGACGACGACGACGACGAGTGGCGGTGGTGGTGATTTTCAATTAAGGAATTTTAATTCGCCGGACGAAGAAGAAAGACTTCAACGGAGTGCGAAATGAACAAGTGACGAACCCGCTAGGAATCAGCATCAGAAGCCACATTTTGCAGCGTCACTGCTGCCTTCTGTTTGTGCGTCCGAGAGAGATAGAGGGAGAGAGTATTTAAAGTGGAGAAGCCCAATTGATTGCCCAATTGTTTTTCCCGCCTTTCTTGGAGGGGGGCACTACCGAAGACGGTATTCTAGGCACAGATGGGGAATGCGGTTTGTTGATGCATAACTGGATCCGAGCAATTGGGTCGGTCAGTAGGGCAAGATCGAACGAGAAGCGAGTAGTGCTGTGGAGAGAGAAGCAATTATATCATCGGACGTGATGGAACGCGCTCCGATTGCGGGTTGAGCTGGTTCTGGTCGGAGAAATGGGATCATGTAAATGGGCTTGAATTTTGGATTACTGGGTTTCATTGAATGGGAAGTTTGGGTTCCCCATTTTTTTTTTGTGTGCTCGAGTGGGTTACTTCTGACACAGTTTTTGAGATTGTTTCAAGAAGAGGTTTTGATTTTAAATCCACGCTTGTGGAGATAAGATGAAATGGAAGAAGAGCTGCTTACGATTAGACTACAGCACGGTTATGTCATGTAATTAAAACGATTTCAACTCAGTTTACTCATGATTCAACCATGCCAAACTTGAAGCAATCGAATGATTGGAAGGTCTCGGACCTGTAAGGCAGAGGTTCTTGAGGTACTAGGATTAAACAATTCGATTGAATTTTAACGAAAAGACCAAATGATCTAACGGCCAAACTTTAATCATCTCCAGAAGAGGATGCCCTCTGTTTTTGAAAAATACGAAAAAGTACGTTTTGGTTCCAAATCACAACTCTAACAGACCATTTTCCAGTATTTCCGCTAGAAATTTAAAGCGCTAGGCTGATTTTAAAATTCTATCTCTGCAATATTTTCATACCCTTAAGTTCAACTTCCACAGGATTTTAAAAGGTGGACATTCCAATACATCTAAGAGTGAATTCCTTTCATTAGAAGGCAACACTAATAATTCTCCAAAATCTCATCTTTCCACGAATGTTTCTTAAAGAACCTTGTTTGGAAATCGACATTTTCTTGGTTGAAGAGTCTGGAATCGTAGAAGCAAAAGGAAGATTCGGCTTGCACTTGTTCCTTCTTCATGAAAGATTAGATAGAAGTAGGAAAATTGGCAGGAATGACGAGCAACAACAACTCATTGTGGAACTGTCTGTCGAACGGAAGGCTTTCCTGATCTTTAAACACTTCAAACATTTCCGATCCCATATCTGTGATTCCAACGGAGTTTCGGATCTGAAAAGCTGCCCGACTTACTTGAAACTGTTTGGACCAAGTTGCAAAGTGACATCTACTTGTGGAAATTGCAGGAACTTGCATGCAATGAGGGATGTTTAAATATTCCACTTAGCTGCAACCTGCCAACTGACAATATTTAATTTCAACAGTTCGGAATTGATTTGCGATTTGGGCGTAACTATTTTAGTATACAATGGCTTCAGTTCGCCAAAGAAACCCATACCTATTGCTTAAGGAATAACTCCCCTATCGCAATTGAGCTTTTATTCGTGGGAAATTAGTCATTGAAGTCATTGTTTAAAAAACAGCTGCACCCAAATCTCAAAGCGTTTAAATGTTTTTCGAACGCATTCCTACACGGTCGTTGAATCCAACTCAACTGTGGGTTCCGTTTACTCAAAATCTCTCATAGACTGAATAAATTGTCCTTCAATGTTCCTCAAATATATGCGTGATTATTAGGAAAATCAAGATAAACTACCTCCCTAAGCGAATAAGCCAATTTTTGTCTTCATAAGCTTCTATTCAACAATCAATGTTTGTTGGGTTAGTCTATGAGTTAGTTGCGTTTTTACGATTTGAATAAACGGAACTCAACATTTTTTTTTTGATTCGTGCAGCGAAACGTATCTATAAAGCGACACCTACTTGTGAAAACAATAGCCTTAGCTTGCTGCAAGCACTTGTATGCAATCTTGATGAAAGAATCTGATTCTCAGAAGCAATAGGAGAATTTGGAATGTATTCGTGCCTTCCCCATGAAAGATAAGATATAAGCAGTCAATTTGGTAGGATTGGCAGCAGAGCAAGACAGCAACAACTCATTGTAAAACTCTCTGAAGGAAGGAAGGCTTTCTCGAAATTTTACAATTCAATCATTTGAAATTCCAAATCTTAGATTCTAACGAAGTTTCAGATCTGAGGAAGCTGCCCAAGAAAATTCACAACCTTCCCAATCCTCGAAACTCTTAGGAACAAGCAAAGCGACATCAACTTGTGAAAATTGCAGGAACTTCCATGCAACTGCAGGAACTGAACCTCTAAAGCTGCCACCAGCAACCTGATGATCATTTATTTCAACAGTTGCTTCACATGTTTTTCGAACGCATTTTTATGATGACGTATCAAAACAGGTTTCCAAAGACGTTTGACGGGAAAAAAAACCTAATGGAAAATTGTCCAGTTGGAACCATTGGCCGAAAGCAATTTGCAAATCCAGGACTAGGACCAGCAGTAAGATAGTTTTCTGAATGGCGATTTTTCAACAGGAACATTTGCTATATTGGAAAATTGACAATTGACCGAAACGGGTATTTCAGTCTGCGACATTAGACGATTTTTTTTTAGATTTCAGCAAAACGGTTTTTAGCCAATCGTCATGAGGATCTTCGGGTAAAACTGAATTTTTATAAATTGTAAACGTGTCCAATGCTGGGTTTTATTTGAATGCTCATCAACGGCCATCTTGATGAACCGCATAAAGATCGCCATCTATCCGTCAGTGGTGACATTCACTAGTGGTATCTTGCGTCGAATTTTGCGTGCAAGCTTTCCAACGGTCATTCACGCCAGTTTCAGGAACTCCTGATTTTGTAAGTTGACCGAAATTTTGGGCATTGTGTCGAAACTTACTTCTTGTTGATGGTGATTTTTGCCAGCAGATAAGCGCTAGTGAATCAGAAGGTGTTGGACTCTTTGGTACAGTCAGATGATGCTAAGCTAAAGCGACATCTACCTGTGAATAATCCAAGGGACATCTGCAATTCTGAATTTTTAACCAATTCTGAACAAATTAATTGATGAACTTAAGTGTCGATCGACTAGCAGATGTAAATGATATGGAAATGGTTATGACGTTTAACTATCAGTCAAACTGCTTGGAATATGTTTTAAAACATCATCAGTCTGGTAGTTGCAGATCTGAAAACTAGGTGTCGCATGGCCAGTTTTAGCGTTGGTTAAATTCATCAATGGGAAGTTATGTTTCTCAATCTTTATATTTAGAAACTCACAATTTCTGTCTCGTTTCTCATAGCTCCATCTTGGAGTCAGATTTCCTCCTTCTTTAGAGCAAGAGATGCACTTATTGTCTCAGCTGAAGGTTCTTGCAGCTTGAAGACAGCTGCTGTTCAGCTTGTTACTGAGAAAAGTAGACTCATCAATTAATACGTGCCATGCAAACTTAATTTCATCGATTTTGGAAACGACAGCGACATCTACAACTTTTAATTTTATTTTGTCGCATCAAAGCGCCATCTATCTCTGAAGCAAATCCTTCTTAAATGATAAATTCGTCATGAAACCTCCATTTTCAGTGGAGTTTGGACTTCTTACGGCGGCTGAATTTGAAAGTGGATTAACTCTACGCCTAAATATGGTTGATTCATCCCATACCTTAACATCCAGAGAGCCAAATCCCACGATAATCACAATTTCAACACCGATAGGATTCTCAAATCTCAAAGCGGATTTCCGTCGCCGGGTCATGGACCCCCCGCTTTAAACGAATTTAAATCCCGTAAGTGCGCATCCGAATCTTCAAGTGCCTTACACAACGGTGGCCTATCGTTTATAAATCCATTGCGCCATTACCGAACGGAACAAGCAGCTCCATCTCGCATTTCACTCTCTTTCTCTCCTGGCGTCGCTATGCAATCTCTAATTGATTCATGCACATCCATCCCCACAACCCATGCAGCAGCACCTGTCAATAATTGACAGCTCGGAGGCTAACGCCAGCTTCCTCAGCCTCGATGCAATTTCCTTTTTATCAGTTCATCAACAACAACAAAAAAAAGTTGGTTTTAAAAGCTGTCGTAATTATCCAATCATAGCTCCAAATGTGCCTCACGGGGCATAATCAATTAGCACTCTTTTTTTTTTCCCCCTCCATGAGCATCCATAGCTTTCCATTGCGAACCACTTTTCCTCGCGCATTATCGAGATTCTCTCAAGTACCCGAGCGAGCCTCGGAGAACGCAATCACGTGCCCCGTTCCCAATTTCTCAATGTGCATATTCAGCTCCGTTTGATTTGATTACCCCCCTTGCGACGTGCTCCTTCGCGATCTCGCACCAGAGTGCGAAACAGCGGCAAAATTTGCTTTTTGTAGGCCACACAGCTTCGGAAATTTGACCCACATCGAACTCCCCGCTGACGTCGTCGTCGTCGTCGTCATCGCCGCCACCACCATCATCCACGTTGCGCTATTTGTTGAGAACGAGAAAAATCTCTAGAAACCACCGAGTTGATTCCGTTCGAGCTTTTAATTACCTGGAAATGCACAAGAAACTAGAACGCTCGAAACATAAAAAGTCCAATTAATAGATTTTTTGTTTTGGTCGAAACCGGTCTGGTCTTTTGTTGTTGCTCGAGCACCGTTCTTTGCTCGATAAAATCGGTCGAAATGCGTTAGCTCAGTTTGATTTTCAGACCTACCCCCAGGTAGCACACTTTCGTCACGAAAAGTCGCAGCAACTTGATTGTGACCGACATAAGTTGCATAGCAGTTGCTACCGCAACAGTCCAGCTTTCGATTCCCAAATCTCATAAGCAAAATTAAAAACGACTTCCACTAACCAGATATTCCCATTGTTTCCTTTCTTTCTCCGCACACAGAGACCCAACCGCCCCGGTTGATCGCATGGGCAAGTCCGTGTCCGAAAACGAAATCATCAGCACCCTGCCGACCACCTCCGAAGACAAGAGCGACGCCCTGTTCGATTTGGCCGTCGACTCCGCCAAGCGTCTGTTCGCCGCCCGCTCCATCCAGTTCAAGCTGCCCGAGGAAACCCAGGAAACCATCGCCCGTTCTATCGAAGAAGGTAGACTGCTGAAGAAAGGTCCGTATTGCTGAACTAACCAAACCCGACTAACCGATCCCTACCGATTATTGCTCTGTTGCACACCGCAAATTGCACTCGCACACACACACTCGATTCTATCTGGGGGCATCTCTCTTTCTCTGTTTGCACGCACATTCTCATTGCAGGTAAGAAGCTAAAGAAGATCCTGGGCCCACTCGTCCTGGCTATCGGAGGAAAGCTGTTCGCCCTGTTGCCCCTGCTCCTCGGAGGTGTCGCTCTGATTGCATTCAAGGCTCTGATCGTCTCCAAGATTGCTCTGGTTCTGGCTGTCATCCTCGCCGTCAAGAAATTCATCGGAGGTGCCGCTGAAGGAGCCGCCACTCTGGGTCTGCTGTCCAAGGCTGTCGGAGGTGCTGCCGCTGCTGGTGCTGGTGCTCTGGGAGCTGGTGCTCTGGGAGCTGGTGCCCTAGCTGCTGGTGCCGGAGGTTCCTCCGGTGGATGGTCGTCGGGAGCTGGTGCCCAAGGATGGTCTCAAGGAAACGCTCAGTATCCTTATGCTCGTAGCTACGATACCGCTCAAGACCTCGCCTACAGCGCTCAGGCCCCAAAGGCGTAAACCGCCTCTTCCCCCGCCCCACGCACCCCTACTTCCCGAAACGAAACCATATTAGGTTAGGAAACCACTTCCTCCAAAACTCTACGCACCAATTCTAATTCTTGTAACTATTACTAGTCTTCGCCCCCCCCCCCACCCTCCTCTCTTGGGGTTCAACTCGGGTCACCCTTCCTCACTTCAACCTCTTGCTGTCCACCTTGCACTACGCACACGGCACCCTCCAGCTGCAGCGAATTGCACCCACTCCATCGATCTAGTCTAATACGCAATTTCACGCGAGAGTCAGAAAGCGAGACAACGCATCGTTGACGAGTCTACAACACAGAGTCATCCTGAAGCCGGCAAAACGAGGTCTCCGTCATCTACGCTCCGATCAACACGCACCGCTCGTCCACAATTATTCGACACATCAGATCGTAACGAAAACCGATCCATCTGCAAACATCTAATCTTTCTCCAACAAACAACCAAACGCCTCTTCCTACTATCTCTTCACCACCCGCCCTGAAAAAGAATAACAAACAAACCAACCAACCCACCACAACGACGAGAAGAGTGTAGAAAGAGTGGAATCACCCGCCCGTTTCGGCGACGATCGAGTATCATCATCATGATCGGGTAACGTATCGATTGTTTGATGATAGCGAGACTTGCAACGGTTCGAAAACACTATCACACGAAGATGCAGAGCCACCGCCGGGCTCCGCGGCGCCAATTTGTACATACACGAATCATCTTTAGGGAAACGAAAGTTTAGCACATGAGAGAATTTGCACAAAGCGAAGCGAGCTGCCGAGTGGCTTTGAAACACCTCCGCCGATGGCTTTCCGTTCTGTACATCTTTGCATTAACTGTCTACAATCTTTACGCTTCGGCGCCTTTTCCTCTGCCTTTCAATTTCACCAGTTTCCCCTTCCCCTTCAATCTTAAGTAGTGTTTTATTAGTGTTTAGTAATTTATTTGCCCAACAAGATGATGAAAAGAGAAGAAAATCAAACCGCGAATGATCGAACACGTGTAATTAATTTATTTTATTTATGATTATAACTTAATACATAACATCTGAAAATGCCACAAGGTGCAATCTCTTTGGACAAAAAAAGCAAACAAACCCTTTGACTGTACCGGTTGAGTTATTTGACCGCTTGGGACTTCCACTGTGTAGAGTAAGAAATAGAGCCAATACAAAACTGAGAGATAACAAAAACTGAAACAAACAATAGTCATAACGCAATGTTCGTTTCTCCCTACCCTCCCCTTTCAATATAAGGTATTAATTGAATAAAGAAGCTGAGAAGATTTGAAAAGAGAGAGATTTAAAAACCAATTGTTTCAGTAGCGTACATTGAAAGAAAGCTCCTGGTAACCTTGATGGGACTGTTATGCAACTGGATCTGGTTGCATAACAGTTCATCAAACTGTTACACATCTGAACTCTACATTTATCCAAACTGTTCCGAACAAGGGTGTCTTCTACTTTGAATCATAAAAACGGATAATTTTCAAACCGAAGTGGCTAGATTTTACTAGCACTTGCTTATCGGCGATGGAGGGTACAGCGTAAAAACGTCATCAAATCGAACTTGAAAATTGCTGACATATGATAACAGTTAATACTATCGAGATTTTGAACTTCACATAAATCAAAACAAATTGAGGCTTTTGTTTTAATTGACTTTGATCTTGATGAGATGCTATGGGCCGTATCAAAGCAACATTTCAAGTACTATCGAGATTTTATAAATCCTGCAATCTTGGAGATCATAAAAGCAATTGTTTAACATTTTAAAACTAACTTGAGTCTGAGCATGTGCTTGATTGACCACCTGCAGTTGCTACGCCGTTATTGGCAGATCCCATTTAATTACACTGAGACCCAATAGGAATAAGCATTCATCCTCAAAACTGCTGATCTAAATATTTACAATGAGCAACATTACCGCCAGCCGCGTCTGAATGCAAGTCAATTACGCAATGGGTATAAATATGTTGACGTGATACTCCCTTTGTTGGTAGCCGTAAAATCACCTGCACTTTCATGAGAAATCCCTGGAATGTTGGATAAAAAGGTTCGGTTAACAACAGGGATCGTTTTCACAAACCGCTACACCACACAAAGAGTCCAATACATCGTTAATGTGGTTAACTTGAATCTCGTTGACATGTATTCAAAAACATCACTGTACTGTTTGAAATATTTCAGTAAAACATTACAGTTAAATCAGTCAAAACTCATTTTCAGCTTGTGTCATCAACATATCATGTAACATGCAACTGATTTGCAACACCTTTTGCAGCAAACATAATTTGCAAAAAGACTCCACCTTCTGCGCTTTAAAGGTGCAATGAAGTTTTATATGCGATGCGTTGTCCATAAATTAGACCTTCATTTAGGCACACTCAGGTTGTTGTTACTCGTTGAGAAACAAATGGTGTTGCTTCAAAATACAATACTTCTAAAGATAATGCAAAAATATTATTTCTTTCAAAAGTTATCATCAATTTTAACTATCTTTACCTGTTAGAGTGTAAACCAGATATAAAGCACCTCGCTTCGCGTTTACTTCGACTTTTATCGCTGATATGTAACGTTTCGGATTAGTTAATATTATAAAATCTCTTCGATTCGGCTGAATATATATCTCGAGTATCGGGGAGAAATATCAATATACGGCTAAACTATCAAAAGTGGACACTATTTAAGCATAAATCGGTCGAGAAAATCGGTTCCACGTGGAAAGCAAACCAAGTGTACGACGTATCGCGGCCGTATCTTATGACCTACAGTGGTAGTGGTTTGTCCGACGATTCGACCAATCTCAAACGTCTAGTATGTACCACAATCACCCGGTGAGCTACAACAACAGAACACTCTTATCAGTGAGACTGTGTAAGAAAAGTGCTGTCAATAGAGTGTCGTTTTTCGTCGTTTTCAATGTGACAATTTCCGATTAGAAATGGAGAATTGTCGAATATTTGAACGATCAAGTCAATTAAAAGTGCTAACGACGGAATTGGTACCACAAAAGAGAAAAGTGGTCCTTCGGTGTAGAAACATCGCTCAAACTCTTATTCAGGTCGGCTAGTCACTAACAGGGAATTACGTACACTAGCAATCGATGACCGGGAATGAAATACAGTGAATTTCATTGAAAAGGAATCACTCAATCTCAAAACGATAGCGTAAAATTATATTTGCTGCGTAATGGTACAGGTTGCATCTCATTCCTATTTTCTACATGCATACATTCATTAAATTCCTCTCACAGTAATTGTTCTTCACTGCGCTTGTCGTTGGGAGCCCCGTGATGCTGTCTCACCTGCATGCTGATTGATGCACCGCTGATCGCACGAACTCTACCAGGTCGTTGCCCTTCGTTGCACCGCAGATCTACTGCGTCACCGTTGCGCTGATGCACCGTTGTCTGTCACGCAATAAAGTTTGTCGCAATGCTAACGTCGAATCCACGCTGTTTTATTGCGCGACATGCAATCGCCGCACGCTGCACTAGCCTCCGTCACTCCACTGCACTGGTGTAGCAGCGTGAATCATACAGCCACAACTTGCCGTATCTGCGATGTCGCTTCACACCGTAGTGTCGCACCGTCTATGCACACCCTTGGGTCGCACGGTGATGTTTCACTGACCATGCACGTTGCACCGTTGTGTCGCACGATACTATTGCCCCGCCTATGGACGTTTCACGCTGCACTTGGCCGATTCAATGCACCGCAGCTCGCTACGTTCAATGGCAACCGCCCAGGATTCGTAGGTACTACGAGGATGACTTTGGGTGCGATGGGAATGGCTCTCGTGGGTCCTCTCGATCGATTTCGATCGTCGTCGCATCAGTTTTGCACGGGAAATGGAAGCTGTAGTTAAAGGCCCTCTGCCGAGGTGGCACAGCGTTAGCCAGACGTTTCGCATAACCACTTATAATTGGATTTACCTTCTGAGAGCCTTTTGTAGATGTGCGTCGTAAAGTCAGACGTTGCCCGATACACGAATGTAACACCTGCACTGAAAATGGGCATTTGCAACCAATTCAATATTGAATTGCTAACGGTAATATAATTCTTGATACACTTGTTCATGACAGATCAATCCAAGAAACTAGCTTCTTCGCCGCTGTTGAGCATAGCGGAATATCTCTAAGACCTAATTGCTTATTCTATTCTAATCCTAGGGCCAATCGCTTCTTCAATATCTGAGTTACGAATTAGTAGTTGGGCGTAAGAAATTTTGACGAGAAAATGCAATAGTGAGAACTGTCATGGTAACTAATCGTTAACTAGGCAGCATATAAGATGAGAAATTGAGTAAAGAGTTTGAGTAGCACATTGACTGTTGCGTCGTTCTTGGGCGTTCTTTTTCAACCAGACATGAGTGAGTGACTTTTTCGTATAGTGTTCCTTGATGGGAGGAGAGCGATTTCTCGCGATTCGCTAAACGGCACGCGCGGTTGCGCTTCTCCTTCGGTAGCTGCCCTTCTGCTGAAAAGCTAGCGACGTTGCGCGTTCTCCTCCGGTATCTGCTCTTCTGTTGAACGGCTATCGCGGTAGCGCTTTCTCCTCCAGTGGCTGCTCTCCTGCCGAACGGCTAGCGCGATTGCACTCTCTTCGCCGATAGCTGTTCGTCGGCTGAACGGCTGGCGCGGTTCTGCACTTCTGCTGAACGGCTGGCGCAGTTGCGCTTTCTCCTCCGGTGGCTGCTCGTTTTTCAAGCGTTGACGTAAACGATTGATGAACAGTTTTGGTGGACTGTTTGCTGACGACGAGGTTTCTCTAATAGTTGTTGGGCCTGCAGTCGGTCAGCAATTCAGGTTTTGTTGGCGTAGTCGCTCGTAGTTGGCCAGTAGAACTGCGTACATAGCTTGAACAGTCGAAGATTAGTCTGCCTTGATGTCCTTCGAATGGCAGACGCCGGTTTTCGCTGTCTTCACATCCTCCAACAGGTAGTTGTTGCAGCCCTGGACCTGTCGTACGATGCAAGGTATAAATTTCGCGCCAAGCTGTCTCGTTCGATGTTCCGCTGCGTTCGACAATTCGAACGATCGTTTCCTCACTATCTCGCCGACGGCGAATCCTCGGGTTCGCGCTCGAAGGTCGTAGCGCTGTTTGCTGCTGTCGTGTGCTGCCTTGATCCTGGATAATGCGAAGTGTTGGATGTTTTGTGCTGCTGTAGCATCCCAAATTGTAGCATTTCTAATATTCCCAAATTATCATAAATTATCATGAACGCCAGTGACATGAAACATGCATGCCACACATTATCCTCAAGCCTTCATTAGCTCATGCTTCAAGGTTCCAAACATTCCCACAGTTCATAAAATCCTTACATTGACACAATTGACAAAACCCAGACATTCCCACAATCCAAACCAAAAGTTCTCATACTTCAAACCATCAGCTCGGTGGAGGTTTACAATTGATTGCTTAGTTGCACAAGTGTAAAACACCACTTCAAATTAAATTATTGCGAACGCATTTTCCCATGCAGCACTAAACGATGACCCATGTTTTCGTCACCTCAAAACATTCCCAGATAGCGAACCGTAAATTGACTCTTCCTTCTCCGAACCACATTTGTTCCCATACACGACACTTATAGCCAATCGATAATTCTTGCTTATGCACCAATAAGCCTGACAGACGCCAAGCGCATCATGTTACAAGTCACAGCGCCGAACTCTCTTTCCCATTTGTTTTAGCGTCGACTTCTCTCTTGTTGACAAATTTCTAATTGAACTCTTATTGGTTAAAACGGCAACTCCAAGCGCCTCCCCACCTAATTGTTATTTGTGTAGAATTATGAAGATGTGTAGAGTTTAAGTAAGATGTAACCAAACTGATACAAGAATAAACATTGATTATGTGAACCCTCACGGCGACTAGTCGATGTCTAAGAAAGATATCACATGGCCTATTACATGGCTGACCGTTGACAAGTGGCGCGAATACTGTGAAAAGTTAAAGTTGAAACCTTGTGATCAGTGAAAAATTCAGTGCCTTCAGTGCCAGTAGTGCTCAACAAAAGTGACAATAAACGATCAATATGGGTTGGTTCAGCGCGGATG